CTACTTGAGGTAAATGTTCAACTCATATGCCTGTCTTTTGTTTGGCTGGAAACCACAGGTGTGGGTTCAATTCCAGACCTGAAGGGCAGCTACGGGCCATAGTCTCAGTGGTGCCACCAGGCTCTATCGGGCCAGCAAACCTGGTCCCCACCATTTTTTTTTTTTTTTCTCCAAATGATTTTGAGTATTGTTCCACATTGGTCTCCCTCTCTATCAAGAATCTCCTACAAAGATCCCTTTCCAAGATATTCCAGAATTTTTTTACTTTTTGAAGTTCAGTAATAATTTGTGTTGGCTGTAGATAGATTTCTAATAAAAACAGAATTATCTTGAACTTAAAAAAAAAAAAGGAAATAGTAACATTTAATTCTGAATATTTAGAAAATTAAAACTAGCATGGGCTGAGAAAGTAAATGTCTGCCCAATACTCATCAAGCTGAAACAACAGACCCAGGTAAGTCAGCTGCATAATTAATAGGAACAAAGTTTCTCCCAAGGACATTGCTGCTGCAAAGTGTCATAATAAGCCCGTTCTTTGAGTGACTACAGTCTCTTTGAGAAACTTTCTTCTCTAAAATAAAAAACTATTACTAGTTTGATGTTTAAAATTGCATTTGTTGTTTTTGTTATGTGCCGTCGAGTAGGATCCAACTCATAGTGACCCCTCCTTGGGTTTCCGAGGCAATATCACTACGGAAGTAGATTGCCCAACCTTCCTTCTGAGGAGTGGTTGGTGGATTTGACCTGCCAGCCTTCTGGTTAGCAGGCAAGTGCCTTAGGCACTGTGCTACCAGAGCTCCCAAAAATTATATTAAGACAATGAAACATTGTTCAGGCCTGCAGTATCTAAGTTACCTGTTGACAGAGAAGAAGCTTCAATTCCCAGCTCAGGTGCACAGCTTCAGATAAAGGATCTCTGGACACAATAGACCACATTTTTCTTAGCTTTATTGTTTCCAATGAATGAGGTCTTAGGTCTACTTTGCAGACCAGACCTGCATCTAAACTTCACTCTAAAGTCTTAGAATCACTCTTCCTTTGGTGAAATGCCCCACAGTTCCTCCCTCAAGTCAATGTGGTCTCCTTCATTGAAATAGATCAATAAATCTAATTTTGTTGGATTACAAGCTTGTTCCTGGTATTATTAGGCTGACTTAGATAGGGTGATGTATTTTTAAAATGCTCCAGCTAAAGTATCTAGCTGTAGTCCCTGGGTGGTACAAACGGTTGACATACTTGACTGCTAACCAAAAGGTTGAAGGTTCAAGTCCACCCAGAGGCACCTAAGAAGAAAGGCCGGGGGATCAACTTCCAAAAAACCAGCCATTGAAAGCCTTATGGAGCTCAGTTCTACTCGAACATACAAGGGGTTACCACAATTCAGAACTGACTCAATAACAACTGGTATCAAGCCACTGCTTGAAAGATAGTTCAGAATTTTACATATGAGCTTTCAGATATTGCAAAATAGAATACATTCCGCTATAGTTAGGCCTCTTGTGGCCTCTGAATTTTAAATTCTGTACTGGCTTCTTATTGAAATAGAAGCATTCTGAGAGCCAGGAAACCTGCTGTGAGTGTTGAAATGAGATTTACTGGCTCTAGTGCTGCTAAAGTCCTGTGGCAAAATTTTCCTGCTTCTAGAAATAACATGGTTTACAATTCCAGCAAGACTCCACAGTGTGACTGGGAAGCTCTTTGTGAACCTCAAAGATATGATAAAAGGTGCTAGGTAGCTATTTGTTGTTGTTGTTATTTGCCGTCAAGTCGGCCCCAACTCATAGCGACCCCTCCTTGGGTTTCCAAGGCAGTTATCACTACGGAAGTAGGATTGCCCAACCTTTCTTCCGAGGAGTGGCTGGTGGGTTTGAACAGCCAGCCTCCTGGTTTGCAGTCAAGTGCCTTAGGCACTATGCTACCAGAGCTCCCGCTAGGTAGCTATAGGTCTACCCAAAACCAAAAAACAAACTCACTGCCATTGAGTTGATTCCGATTCATAGCCACCTCTGTTGGGTTTCCAAGGCTGTAAATCTTTACAGAAGTAGGTTGCCTCATCTTCCTCCCACAGAGCAGCTGGTGGGTTTGAACCACTGACCTTCTGGTTAGCAACCAAATGTCTTATCCACTATGCCACCAGAGCTCCTTACTATAGGTCCTAGGTCTCCCAAATACATGGCCTCTCTCCACTCCTGGTTTAAATTCAGGGTTGCTATATTTAAGAAGAGGAGCCCTCGGGACCATAGTCACAGGGGACATCAAGTTCAATTGGCATAACAAACTATAAAAAACATTGGACACTGGGAGGAGGTAACTATGGGGAGGAAGTGGGAGGGGAGCTGCTGCATTGTAAATTTTGGTCAATGACATGAGACAAAGTATATGTGAACTGC